AGAAAATCCTTTGCATCGCATGAATCGATGCACCCAAGAGTTTGTGTGCACGAAACTCTTCTATCGTGAGCCCAGCTTCTCGAGCAAGTTCCACGGCTTTCTTGCGAACGATATCCACGATCACTGGCAGCGAGTGCGCACTAACTTTCCGCACAAAGTCCGCTAGCTTATCCTCCTCCAGCTGCGGATGAACGGCCCTTTGTCCATGAAACGACATTTTTCGAGCATTGCACATCTGCAGCTTCCCTTTCCCCGCCCTCCAATAGCACACGCTTTTTTCTAATACACCAAAGCGGCGTTTAGCAGCCATATTCCCGTTCGCTTCTGCAAACTCAACATCTAGTTTTAACGCAGCTGAGTACTGCCTCCTCGCACCGCTAATCATATTCAGTGAACGAAAAAAAAAAGACCACTAAAAATGCAGTTATATGTCAAGCAGAGCGGAAACTCTGAACAGATTGGAAGCAAATCACGAACACAAAGAAAACAGACGGAGGAAAAAAAAAACCTGCGATTAGATTTGGATGCGGCTTCTCAAGCACGTACAAGCCACATGTTGCCAGACAGCGGCGCTCTTTTGGCTAGACACCGCTATATAAGACGAGGGGCGACTTTAACTTATTATTTTATTGAATATATCTCGACTTTTTTTCCGGTTTATACGGTAAGTTCACTCCCTATTGATTAAGGCCACATTAGAAAAAAAAGTGCTTAATTAAAAGTGATATTTAAGATATGGCAACATAGGATAAGGACTATAGATTGAAAGTATACAATAGTTTTCTGTTTTTAGGCCTTTCTTGGTTATTTTACAGCAAAATGAACTATTCATTTTCAAAAGCAGTTGAATGTGTTACAATTTTGATGAGTAATTAATTAAAAAGGCTTGGGGCCCGAAATTCTGCTCCCATACTCGCATTCTATGCACATACAGGTTTCTATTGCAAAAAGAATTATTGTTGTACCAGTTCTAACTGCGAAGATATTGAGGCCTCTGAATTGAACTGTCATAAATTAACTTTTTTAAAAAAATGGAAAAAACTGAAAATACACAGTTTCTTCAAAAAGCAAAAATCATGATGCGCATGTTTTGCAATCCTCATAAAGGTGCTCATAAATTCGTAGCGGAGCTTCTAACACAGGGGCCGGCAAATTATAAAGAAGCCTCGACGTCGGTTCCCCATTTTTTTGCAGATTCTGCATGTTAACAGCACCAAGAATCTGGACAGTTAGAATGACATTACAAAAAATTACCACTTCCTGGTGTGAGAAAATTGCAGAGAGATAGAAAAATACTTGCAGAAACCATATATGTCAATTTTCAAATCGAACTTTTTTGTCACTTCTTGGTTCTAAAGACAAGTCTGCCCCCTTAATTAGAGCTTGAGGACAGTCGTGGAGTCCACGGTGAGGAGCAACTGTTCTGGACGGGCCTTTTTGTAACAGCTTTACTATGTCCGCAGTGTCACAAAGCCATCAAATATCACTCCACAGAGATCTTTAGGCCACTATAGTGTAAGAGGGCAGTGAGTTGGGCGAGTTGTCGTTCTCCTCTTGTGCTTTGTTTGCACTGGCCATCGTGATTACTATAATGTTGGAAAGGATGTGGGAATTGCGGCAAGGTCTGCCGCCATTGCATAGGCTTTGCCGCCTATTTTTGCCGCTCTCATGTCCTGACATGACTTTCCCCTCCTCTGCGGTCTGTCGCGCTGGGGGAGCATGAGTGAGTATTGATATCAACCCCTCTCACCCGCTAGTGAATGTCAACTGTTACCCCATGCGCAAAGTCTCTCAGGATGTTTCCCGCGCGCGTCGGGAGAGAAAGATATTTTCAACGCGCCCGGGTCAATCGAAGGTGAGCGCGCATTTCTTTTCTGTCTGTCGGCTCCTATTGTTTGGGGCTCGGACTTCGCCAACGGCACCTTGCGCCCACGTCGAATGCTCACCTTTTGTTGACCTCTTTCGAACGTTAGGCCGAAGAGCGGTGCAATGTCTTTGCGCGTGGTCATACTACGCCAACCTGTATCTCTCGAAGCCAACGGGAGCGGAGTTTTTGCCCTCGCTCAAGCGACCAGGCGCTTCTGTCTCAATGTCATCGTGAATAACTTTTTCCCACGGAGACGTGCTCGCAGCACCTTGTGTAGTACTTCTCGCCAGTGGCGTGGATAAGCCCATTTTCTTTCCCGCCGACCCTTTTGCAGCAACAGGCTCTGTTATGTGTTTTTCGGTGTTGCCGCAGGCAATAAAGTGTTGCAACCTTGAGCAGTATCGTGTTCTCGCCACGGCGACGGTTAACGTGTGCCTTGCGGCTCTTTAAGACCGGACCCACACTAGTGGCTGTACTCCTTTGGGATACGTGTACACCACACTGGCGCCCAACGTGTACACAACAAGGTGTAGCACACTTATGGAAAATATTCCCACTTAAAAATATGCAATTACTTTTTCTGTGCAACAAGCACTTTTAAAAATGGTGAGAAATCCATGTTTTTTTTTTGCATTGACTAATTTCGAGGGGAGTTTTCTCTTGAATGCTGGTACAGTATAACCTGGTTACAACAGATCTGCTTACAATAGACATTCGGATGCTACATACCAATTTGCGGGGTTATGTTGATCTCTCTATCTGTACCATTGATCGAGATACGTTTACAACGGGTCTGGGTACAACGAACATTCGAATATAATTTACCAAATTAAGAGGCCAGGAAAGTGGTCAGCACTCCTTTACAGCGGACTTTTCACATCGCTTGGCATACTTCCAAGACGGGAGCAGTGTGCCTTCGGTGTCGACGCAGGTGGCGGCCAGTTTGAGACGGCCGTGCTTGGCTTGGACCGATCCTTCTAAGAGGGTCTACTACCACTAATGGCTAATGCATTGTATACAAATCTATGCATGTTTTTTATGATTTCAGTTTTATCAAAGCAAAAAGCAGTCTGCTTATCGACTACAAAAAGACAGAAAAAAACCACTAAAGCGATACTTCTTTAGGAATTGCATACTTTCGCCAAAGTAAAAAAGGTAATAGAAAGCACTCGCTGATAGCGGCCCCTCTCGGAATAGAAGTTCAGCGTGGCGCTGAGAGCGGGTGCTTCATTCGGCTGGGGCTGTTTCGACTTTTTATTGCTCCACTCCTCGTGTATCGTGTGCATCAGTTCGTAGTGGAGGTGATCACGGTGTGATGGAGCCGAACTCATCAGCCAACGCCACGCGTTGTAAGCCACTGCAAGCGATGAAGCGTAAGCAGATATCCTGAAAGACAAGCTTGGTATCATTGAGCAAGTTGAGAAGGGAAAAAAAAAAGTAGGTGGATGTCGCCATGGCGTACGGCTTGTCGAATATGACGGTCAACGCCATTGTCAAGCGATAATCTTGTTAAAGAAAGTGTCAGGTAACTTGCAACCCAAGAGGTTTCGGCTGTGTGTAGCTTCATATCCTGGCGTTGAAAAGGCCTTGCTCATGTGGCTTCGTGACACCCGTGAACTGACTGCTCCTATGAAAACTCGTGAAGCAACTTGTGTTTGATCTTAATCAAGAACAGTTTCAATGCAGAGAAGATTGGCCTAACCATTTTAAATCGAAATTGCCTTTAAGTTCTGCTCCACTAAGGCACGGTCCTTTAAGTGTCTATCCGGAGAGTTGGCCAGCATCGACGACACTGTTGTTGCCGACTGGAAAGCCGATGTTCTTCCCATTCACCTCGAAGACTATGAACCGGGGAATGTGTTCAGTGCTGATGAAGTTTTCTTTAATAATTTAGAGCCAGGAAAGACTTTTTGTTTTGCCAAAGATGCGTCGTGGAGCAGGAAGTCCAAAGAGCGCGTCAGCATTCTCTGTTGTTGCAATATGAACGGGAGCAAGAAGACCAAACTCTTGGTTTAGGCAAGTCGAAAAGACTGCGGTGCATGCGCAATATGCACGTTCCCATGAACTGGGATTCGAACAGAAGTGCCTAGATGACCAAGGATGTTTTCAAACTGACGGTCGCTCGATTTTGACAGCAAGATGCATTAACAAACAGGAATGTTTACTTTTCCTTGACAATTGCTCGAGCCACATGTACCTTCTCCAGCTACATGCTACTAAGGTTGCTT